GAGAGAGAGAGAGAGAGAGAGAGAGAGAGAGAGAGAGAGAGAGAGAGTTTCTAGGACAAAGGAGCCAACTTTGGGCTAAGATGTGAATGGTCGAAGGAGCCAAGAAGGACTGCCAAGTACAGCACTCTAGGAAGAAAGGGCAGTCGTCAGGAAACCAAGGGCGGCAGGTTCCTTAAAGCAAACAGAAGAACAGGAGTCAGGCCCTGCTCGGTGCAGGCACACGGCATGTGGCACAGCCATTGTCTCTTTTTCTCAGAAAAAGTCCAAGTATTCACCCAGGTGAGGTTTTCCCCACCCCATGTAGCTCTCTCTCTCTGGCTTCCTGAAACTATGTAGACCTTGGAACTTACAGCAATCCTCCTGCCTCGGCCATCAGAGTGATAAAATTAAAGGCATGAGTCAAAACACCTGGTATAAGAGTACACTCTTATCTGGGCGGTGGTGGCTCACGCCTTTAATCCCAGCACTTGGGAGGCAGAGGCAGGCAGATCTCTGTAAGTTTGAGGTCAGCCTGGTCTACAGAGTGAGTTCCAGGACAGCCAGGGCTACACACAGAGAAATCCTGTCTCAAATAACCAAAAGAGTATACTCTTCTGTTTTGTTTTGTGGTTTTTCTGGTGCTGGGGATTGAACCCAGGACTCATATACACTAGACAAGTGCTTCTTCATCAGAGCGACAGCGGCCATCAGAAAAGAGACCCCGTCAGATAGAACCAGCGTGAGGCAGTTGTGTGCAGCCTCACTAAACTTGAGTCTTCCACTGGCAATGGGCCACACACAGTGGCACTCTGGTAAGATCATGTGGCCTTCTGACAGTGCAGAAGCCTTAATCTATGCAACCTATTCTGATGTTCACCCTGCGACAAAATACATTTGCAGAGAAGATCCCCACTGTTTAGTGATGTATTTCTGTTCCTCTGGAGTTCACTTGGGAGATGGTGTCCTGTTGGGGAAGGGAATACAGGAAGAGATGTAAAGCCAGGGATTCCAGAGCCAGGCAGAGGGATGTATGTGTGTGCCAAACTCCATCACTCACCAGCTGAGCACCCTAGGCAAACAACTTCACAGTTCTGGGGCTCCGTTCCCACCCCTTGCTTGTTTGAGTGCAGACTGAACAGGCCTGAACACAGCATCTGGAGTAGGCCATGATTCCGCCGCAGACCGGCCTTGATGTTGGTCCTGCAGCACCTATCAGGCATGTATTAACCCCCAGCAAAGGAAAATGGCCCGAGTTCTGTGCCTTTGAGGGGAAGTATTTTTGGAGAATAGTGTGATCAATGTAGTGCTGGAATTCAGCTGGGGTCAGGGCCACTCTATTTGCCCACTTTCCAGGCCATTATTTTCCTTCAAGTTCCCTTCTGTCCTCTTCTCTTAGCCTCTCCGTAGTGAGCACACACAGGGACCCAGGTCTGGCCAACCTGTGCCAATCCCAATCCCTCCACAGTGGACCGTTAAGAAATTGACCAAGAAACCTAGAACAGAGAGAGACATGACCTGATGAGGCCTTCCAAGGCCCTGGAGCTACTTAATCCCAAACCCAGCAGCAAGATCCGCGGCCCTTGCCATCATGAGACAGATGCCTTTGGCTCTTGCCAGTTCTGATTGAGTTTCTGTCACCTGCAGCCAGAGTCCTGACAGCTAACACCGTTTTGTATGCAACAGCAGAACTCACGCGTCCATGGGGTCTGCCATCGGTGACGAGGGAAAGATGGGCAGAGGTAAGAAACGATAAGGTACGTGCTCACTGTCCCTCCTCCTCCTTCGCTGGAGAACTCCAGGCTTCCCAGACATGCAGCTGGGTAGGATGCAATGTCAGAGTTAGCCAGCCAGGGTTTCCCATCTTCCCTCGATAGGTGAATTAACACAGGGACACGTGACCCAGGGAGACTCCACGCTGCAGTTTTAATTCAATTTTGAGACTTTTTCCCACTGGGCACAAACAGGTGGCTTTAGAAGGTTCTGGCAGGCGCCATGTTATGAGGAAAAAGCCTGGAGAGGACAGAGCCTGCTCCGGTCCTCATCATTGGAGTGCAGATCAAACCACATGTAAAGGAAGAGACATCCCCAGAGGTTCAGCTACCTGAGCCAGTGAAGGCCATTTGGGCTCAGACTTCTGGCTTCGTTTTCTGTCATGTGTAAACAAGAATCCTGTGTGTCTCCCATGGCACATAGGGAAGGCACCCATCCCCACCATCAGAGGCCTGTGTGCTCCACTCTCCTAAGATTCACTTTGCATTCTGAAAGAAAGCATTTGGTTTCTCGAAAGCTCTTGGGGCACCCGAATATAGGGGTCCCTCTGAAATGTATGAAATTCTCAAAGGTCTGGGATTAATGGAAACCTGCTCAGCACACAGGCTGGAGCAAGGGGGAGCTCCCCACCCTGAAGGAGGCAATAACTCACCTGGGCCCACCTCTGCCCTTCCTTCTGCCCATCTTGAGCAAGGACAGCCATCAATCGTGCTTATCAGACCTCTTATTTCATCCTTTATCCGGCTGCCGCAGGTGTCATTCCGCACTCTTAACAGAGTTATGAGCGATTGAGTGCCGGGACCGGGCTGGCTGAAGGATTCATGGGTGCAAGTCTCTCCATTCATCAGAAAGAGTTAGCCTTAGTTAGCTTTGGGGTTTCCAGTGGGGGATGGAGAGGAGGCTTCTCTGTCCGTAACCAGAATATCAACGTCACGGAGAGGACAGCAGTGACGTTGGTGGAGAAGGCCCCTGAGTAGCAGTGAGAACCACTATCGGGCCAGAAGACAGGCACCGGGACCAGTTCTGGAGCTGGAGATGCACTCCTGAGTCAGATGAGATGTTTACTCAATACTTGTGCCCAAGACCAGCTTGTCCTCCGAGCACACATCTCCACTCTGCTCACGACAGTTACTATGAAGTCCCCACTCCTGGGCCAGCTTACAAAGCCCTCTCCCCACGCCTCCGATACCCTGGTGTCCTTCCCTGGACCACTACACTCCAGGCCTCTAACCTCTACCTAGTCCTCACACACTCATGCTCACACCCATGACCTTTGCATTCACATCCCCAGGGCTGCCTTTCCTTCCACGCGTAGGCTCAGCTCCAGCAGCAGACAGGGCTTTCCTGACCCTCACCGCTGTCTGTCTGCCACGTGGTTCTATTTCATTTCCTTCACAGTTATTAAACCTTGGCCAAAGATGTCTTACTTCTTCTCCCCTTTACTTGAAAAGAAGCTGCCAGGAATTACTGCCTGAAGGCAGGGTTCTGTCTGTCCTCAACCCTGGAGAGGTCCCCGCCAGCACCTGGTGCATTCCTGGGTGCCCCAGACACACAAGAAATAGAGATTGCCCACATAAACTGCTGCCCAACTTGGTGCTTCACAGCCTGGCACCAAGCCTGAGTGTTTGGAGTAAAGCCTGCCTGAACTCTGGGCTTCTGTCCAGAGTCCTGAGGCTTAGAACAACCCATGTCCCACCCAAAAGCCTCTCTTAGAGACAGGGAAGGAAGATATTGGTTCTGGGAGGAAAGACTGTTTTGTGAAACCAGGAGGTTGCCATGGCAACGCTTCTTTATGCAACAAAGACCCCCCTTCAAGTTAGAGAAGAGAGGGCGCAAGTCAATGGATATTGACCAATAGCAGTGGGACCTTCGGCTGTGCACAAGGAGGGACTTTCAAGTCACCCCTGCCTGTCCTTGGGCTTGATCTGACAACTCTGCTCTGCCCCTCCGCTGGCAGCTTGTCCTGATTGTCCTCAGCCTCCTCCCATCTCACCCTGGGCCGTGAGGGAGAGGAGCTGAAGAAGGTCGAGGGTCATCCCAGGCAGTGGACCCGAGCAGGGAGCTGTCCTAGATGAGGTGTGGCGTCACACATGCACTAAGCACACTGTTGTGCACACTGGCTTGGATGAGTTGGGGGGATCAGTGCTCACCCAGCCACGGGGGGCTGTGTGCAGCTGTCTGTCCATCCCACGAGGCTCAGGGAGGCTGTAGTGGGCGAGAGAGAGCTGCAGGGGTTTGACTCGGATGGCCACACGCAGAATTCAAGCTTATAACCACACTGCCATCCCCGCAGTCCTCAGCACAAACAGACGTGATTGCTGCCGTCGGCCGCGCTCGCTGTGGGTCAGCCATGTCCTCACCCGAGAACCTTCGCTGTGTCATACAGGGAAACGGGATTTCAGGGTAAAGGCTATGACCCAAGTGGCAAAGTTGGGACCCGCACACCTGTCCAGAGTCCGAGTTCATGCCCTAACATCAATAGAACCTGGGTATGCGCTGCCAAGACAGCCTTTCCAGCCTGGCCACTCTAGCCAGTAGCGGGGCTGGGGGACAGAAACCTCACCCTTGGGACCTGGGGGGTTGCTAAGGCAACTTTTGGGAACCAATCTGTGACCTGAGGATAAGCAGCCTTGACGGAACTAAGGAAAGAATGCAGCAAGCCAAAAGAGGAAGCAGACTCCAGGTGATGTGGCAGGCCTGAGAGCCAGGCACGCTCCAGCCCCACTGTGGAGCACAAACAAGTTCTTACCTGTCAGCGGCTTCAGTGCTGGCCACATCATCTCAGCCAAAGCTGCTCAGGCGACAAAGACGGTAAGAGACAACAAATTCCAGCTTCGGTCACCACGAAAAAGCACCACATGCCAGGCCTGGACGCATCCCTGGGAGCTGGTCCCCTCTGCTTTGAGTCTTCAGAACCAGGCCGTGCTGGTACATTTCACATCACCATGGGCTTTCAGAGCCCAGGCAACCACCGTCTCCTCCACCAGGCAGCCACCGTCTCCTCCACCAGGCAGCCACCGTCTCCTCCACACACGTTCCCTTCGATGTTCTGCCTGGCCCTGAAGCCCTGGGAGTCCAGACTTGCCACCAACATGGAGGGAAATAGCTGGTCATTTTTCATTGTGGGCCTTGGGACTCCCTAAATTGAGATTTATCTTTGGAGTTGCCTCTATCTGCTGACTCCATCTTCAAGGTTCAGTGAGGTGTAGGACCAGGGAAAGGGGCTCTGATGTGTCCTCTCTCACTCACACAACAAATGTAGGTGACCTTCCCAAAGCCTTGCCACACTCCTCACCACCTGGACTAACAGAGCGTTCACCTTTCACTGTTGCTAATGTTTCCAAGTCGATCATTTTACATTTATTTACATTTCCGGGAGCAGATGGGGGCCACAGCTGGCAAGAGTCTGCTCTCTCCTCCACGCTGTGGCTTCCAGGGATTGAACTCAGGTCATCAGCCTTGGTGGCAAGCACCTTTACCCACTGGGCCATCTCGCCGGCCCCTGCGTTTCAGTTTTTCTTTTTTTTATTATGAAATTTTTTATCATTTTACATAGCAATCACAGATTCCCCCCCTCATGTGTTTAAGTTTTATATGACATTGAGTCAGGCAGTAAATCTGGCCTGGAAACATCAAGAAACTTGGTGCTTGCGAAGAAGAAATGGAGGATGGGGCAGGGACAGATGGCAGCACACTCTGACCCTCGCCCTCCCTGCTCACTTCAGACTGCCCATGCGCCTTTCTCTCCCGGTCTTTGGTCTGTTCTCCTCCTGACCTGCCACCTCTCCTCCTGACCCCGCCACCTCTCATCCTGACCCCACCAGCCACCTCTCATCCTGACCCCACCACCTCTCATCCTGACCCCACCAGCCACCTCTCATCCTGACCCCGCCAGCCACCTCTCCTCCTGACCCCACCACCTCCTCCCCTCCTGACCCACCACCTCCCCCATGGCTCCAGGTCCCATCCCTGCTCCTTCTGCACGCCAGCCCCATCCAGCAATTTCTTCAGCCCCACCAGCTCCCTGAAAGCCGAAGGCTGCCACTCCACAGCCTGGACAGACAGTGCCCCCCTCAGGCCACATTCAGCCCTGGGCTGTGGCTCTTGGTGAGACAAAGACAAACACCCGTGGGAGAGATTAGGACGACTTGGGCAAACCTCCACTGGCAACCCCAATTTCAGATTCGAACTCAGGTCTCCAGAGGTGAATGGGAAGAAAATGGCTAAATTAAAATGCTAATTACCGTCTCCAGCAATTCGTTACCAGACAGTCGCTTGTATCTATTATTAACAGCTTCCGCCACAGCCCTGGCTTGCCCAGAGACACCAATGACTTAAAGATTCAGGTGCAAGAGAAAATAGCATAGAGCTGTGTTGGCACTATGCACACAGTGATGCTGCCGTCACCTGTTTCTGCTCCTTCCGGAGAGATGAGCAGAGGAACCTGCTGAGGAACTGAGGACTCCTCCAGGCTGTCCCGCGGAGGCCCCTCCAAGGGTCGTCTCAGACTTGAAGTGGTTGCATCAGACATAACAGGGTAATATAAACCCCATGTCTAAATGGATCTGCAGAGCATTTCATAGCTCTCCAGCACCTCTGTGCACCCCCCTCCTACTCACATTATGGGGGAGGGGAGGGGCATGCCAGGGATTGAAGCCAGGGCTGCCATGTTTTTATTAAGTGAACTCGGAATTTGGAGAAGGCAGTAGGAGCTGCTGTTCCCTCTTTCCACATAGAAGTCTAGGTAAGGTTTTCCTATAGAAGTCTAGGTAAGGTTCTATACTACTTGTATGCATGCACGCGCGCGCGCGCACACACACACACACACACGCACACACACACTGCTCCTAGAATGTGAGACTTTTAGAAACAGATGTGAAGGAGGGAGGTTGCTGATGAGGAAAAAGATGGCTCCTGTATGAACTGTGCGTGGCACTTCGGGGAACCACATCACCCATCTGTGCCTGGACTGTCATACTGACCTCCAGTAACAAACAAACTGTCTCAAGAGATGCCTTGGGGCCTTGGCGACAATGGCGAAGCTGCCCAGGCCTTGGGCATAGTGTTGGGGAGGCAGAATAGTGCAAACAGAGTGGGTGAGAATTCCAGGACGGAGAATCCTTGCAGAACTGCCTGAGGTCACAATCCTCAGGAGGACAAGGTGGACACTGCTGTCCTTTCTGTACTCACAGACTAGACGCCAGCGGGTAGACTACAGAGATTCTCTGCTCCACATCACCCTGGTGAGTTCCTGTCCCAGCAATGGCGCTGCTCTATAAGACACTTATCCCACCCCCTCCCACCCCCGAGTGTTCAGAGGAGCAGGGACGGGACCTGCCTGGTGTCCCTGGAACATGGTTCCACACATAGAGGGTTTTCTGTGGTTTCTTACAGAGTCAAGGTGACGCTGTCACAACCAGTCAGTGTCATATACAAGGATGCCCCTGTGGGGCTGGGTTTCACCTGCTCCTGGAAACTCGTTCTTAAGGGTTTGTGAGCCTGGTCATTACACAATGGGCATTTTGAAGTTGGCCAGGATGCGTGAGTATACCAGAGCCCTCCACAAACTCCCAGGCATGGATTTTTATCTGCTCCACTGCTGGCTAGGGAGCCCAGTTCAACAGTCACACTTTAGCTGAAATAATATTTTCTAGTTTTAAAAAGATTTATTTTTAGCTGAGTGTGGTAGCACACACCTTTAGTCCCAGCACTCAGGAAGCAGAGGCAGGCAGATCTCTGAGTTTGAGGCCAGCCTGGTCTATACAGGGAGTTCAAGAACAGCTACACAGAGAAACCCTGTCTTAAAAAAAAAAAAAAAAACTCTAAAAAAAAAAAAAAAAACCTCGGGAGGCAGAGGCAGGTGGATCTCTGTGAGTTCGAGGCCAGCCTGGAC